GGTCACGCTGGCAGTCAGGTGCAGGCTTGAGTTCCCAGGGGACAGGGGGGCTCAGCTGCCCCAAAATGTCCTGTGGTGCCCGTGCAGCCCATGTCAAGGTGGAGGAGCCGGCCTCAACAGGGATGTGCCTCAGGGGAGCCGGCAGCAAGTGATCCCATCTACCCCAGGGTCCCCAGGGTGCTGTGACAGGGAGAGCAAGAGGTCTCCTACCTTCAGCCTCCTCGTCTGCTGCCTTCCTCTTCCTCCTCCGCTTCCCCACCTTGCAGGCCAGGAAGCCCCAGAGGGCTGCCAGAATCAGGATGAGCCCCACCACTGCCGGGACCCCGAAGATCAGGAGGGTGCTGGGCAGATCCACCGAGGAGAGGGTGGGCGCCAGGGCGGAGGTGGGTGCCGTGCGAGCGGGCTCTGCTGTGGGGCAAGACGCCAGCAGTGTCAGGAGGGGCAGAGCTGGGGCGAGGGAAGGAGGGCAGCAGTGTTACCCACCCGTCCGGCCGGCCTCGGGGCTGTGGTGGTGGGGAAGGAGAGTGGCTCTTCACGGCTACCCACCCACCCACCACCCGCAATGAGCTGTCCCCCTGCCTGATGGGACCCTCATCACACCCGCCACCATTCCTGGCTGGTGGGAGATGAGGACATCCTGCTCTTCCCATGGTCACCCTTGGGGCAGGCTGTGACCCCCGCGCCGGGCTGGATCATTCCTTTTCTCCCCACACCACCTTCCCCTCACTGGAACTGGCTGTCCTCTTTCTCTCTCCTCCTCCTCCTCCAGGTGAAGGCAGTGCTCCATCCTCCCTCGCCACCTCCATTGCCATCTGCAGGAGAAGGTCCCCTCCACCTGCCCACCCCTGGGGTGCCCCCAGCCCCCTTGGCCCACCACCGCCCAGTCCCAGGGAGGTCGGCCTCCGGCCATCCTCATCCCCTTACTTGTGTTGTCCTTGAACAAGTCGGAGCACTTGACGCAGGACTTGGTCAGGAGGTCGAAGCACTGGGGGGAGAGGCAGGAGGGGGCAGCGGCAGCTTTTCCCAGCAAGGACATGGCGGAGTGGGAGTGAGAGCCTGGCTCCCGCATGGCGTGGTGATGATGGGGCCGCCCAAGTGTGAAATCGCAGCGCCCCGGGGCCCGTGTCAGAGGGAGATACAGTCTGTCAAGCTGCGTCGTCTCCCTTGGGGCTTGAGACGCTTGCGCTTGCCCTGGGGCGGATCTTCACTGGGGAGGAGGAGAGCGAGCGCCTAAGACCTAGCCCTGCCTGCCCGTGCAATGTGCCCTCAAACTACCCCTCTCCTCCAAAATACGCTTCCAAAATCCCCACAGCCCCTGCTGCGCCCCAGCCACGTAGCACCCCGTTCCCAGCGGCACAGCACCCCAGCCCAGCGGTGTCACCTCCTCGGCCCTCACCCTTCCCCAGCCCACCCGTACATTGTCCCTAGCGTGGACACAGCCCTCAGCCCGCACCGTCCCTTGCCAGCTGGCGAAAAGCCCCCTTGGCAACCTCCAGTACCTACATGAGGCTTTCCTGTGCCCAGATCTTTACAAGACCCCCCCCATCCCACGGCCACGGATCCGGCTTGGATGGAAAATGCAGAAAGGGACCGGAGGAGAAAAGAGTGCAGGGTCAACAAGTTTTACCCTTTTCAAAGCTCCCACTGCCACCAAGACATGGCCTTAACTGCCTGTGACTGCTGCACAGGCAGGGCCATGCTCTCCATCACCTTACTCTCTCCATCCCAGACCTAGACTCGTGGCAAGGACCCTCCCAGCCCCTTGGCACCATGTCTCATTCTCCAGGATTCAGAGCTGGCTCTGCTCAGTAACTGCCCAGGGCATGGGAAAAGCAGGTCACCCCAAGCAAGTCTGGTCCCCATACCCTTGGAAGGGACTAAATAAACCCTTAATGGTCTTAGGTGTTCCTGATCAGGAGGAGGAGAAGTGTCCTGTCACCAGTACCCACACATCAAAGCCCAATGCTTGAGATCTGAAGTGGATAAGTGATGGATTTCAGTGCTGTAGGTGGCTCTTCTCCATCCTTACCAAACAAAAGTCATGTTCCCTTTTTCTTCACCCCATAGGAAAGAAAGAGACCAACCACACTTGCTGGCTTGCTCTCAGCTGAAGGAAGAAGCACAGGAGATCTGCCCTGGCCAGGACAGCCCTAACAGGGCTTTACTGCTGGAGTCCCCTCCTTGCAGCAGCTATAGCCTCCAGGCTCTTTCTAGTGAGGTCTCTGTCACTTGCTGTCCTGAACTGAGGCTGGGAGGGGAGGAGGAGAAAAGCCAAAGGACACTCTGGCTCGAGGTGACAGAGTACCAGGCGTCCCCACTGGGCAGCTGAGCGCCTCTGAGACAGGCCAGAGGACTTGGTCCCTGTATGTGCCTGCCCCTCTCCAATGGCTTTTGGGCAAGCTGAGCCCGCAGCCTCTGCATCCCACGCCCTGAAACCCTAGGTGGGATGCAGGCACCAGCTCCCTGTACTGGGTCGCAGCCCAAGCATGGCTCTCCAGCACCCCATGCCTGCCCACATCTCCCTCCCTGCCAGCAGCATCCCTGCTGGGTGGCTTGTACCAGGGCAGCACTGAAGCAGCCCCAGCACCATCTCAGCCCTCCCCGCTGGGTGCTGCAGGGCTCTGGGCGAGTGAAAATCCCGACCAAAACTGGTCGCTGCCCGCCAGTTCCACGCCTGCCGTGATTTCACTTCCCTTTCCAGTTGGCATGCCCAGCCGCTCGCTCCCTCGCCCCTCGCACACGTGCACACGTGCCTGGCTGCCAGGGAGCGCCCTGCCCGGCTGCGCTGTGCCAGCAGGGATGGCCGTGCCAAGCCCGGGGGGCTGCGGGCTCCTCCCAGAAGCTGCGAGAGCCCGGCCGCCGTTCCTGTGCCTGTGACTCAGTTATTCCCCCTCCTTCTTAGTCAAAGTAAAACTCCCTGAGTGAGTGGGGGCACGCCAAGCACTTCCCTCTCTCAGTACGGCCCCGAGCTCCGAAGCCACAAGTGGCATGGCCAGGTTGGCACCTTCTGCCTCGATGCTTGCGCTGAACGGGCTGCACTCGCCCCTGTGCAGGTACCTGCCAGGGGAGGACATCTCTCTGTATCCCACTTCAATGACCCCCCTGTCTCTTGTGTGCCCCGGGTGAGGAGCGGGGCTGTGGTGCAAGCATGGGAGCAGGAGGGGTGTGCGTCCAGCAGCAGGAGGGTGCGCCGGGAGCATTTCTGGGGGGTCAGAAAGCCACAGCAAGGAGGGCTGAGGGGTCAGGAGAAAAGCTCAGGCTTGCTCCAGGCCACATCTGAGCTCTGTAGCAGAGAGCCCTGGGGAGGAGAGGGCACCCAGAGCGCCCGCTGTCCCCGGCAGGCAGCTCGCAGAAGCGTAAGGGTAGGGACTAGGGAGCAGAAAAACATCTTGCCTTGTGGGCTGGTGGGGCTGGAGCCGTGCATGGAGGCAGAGGACCCCCACAAAACGGCCAGTGCTCTGTCAGAACACCTGCCCCTGAAACAGCTCCCTGCTCCAAAGGCTTTGCTGTTCCTCTTGCCCCAGGGTGTTTCCACCTGCTGGTCTCCTTTTCCCAAAGGCTCCTCCATCATGTCCCTCTCGCTCTCCACCCTGAAATCCCTCTGCTGTGCTTCCCCTGCGTCAGTCATCTCTCAGCAATCCCCAGCCCCTATTCCCGTGGGTCTTGCTGTGGCACTGTCACCCTGCCCCTCTCCCTCCCCTCTCCTCTCCCTGCTTGGCTTAATGCAGGGGTGGGGGAAATGGGTCCTGGTATCTGCTGTACCATGCTTACAGATTAACTCTGTGACCCCTCCAGTCAAATATATGCACCAGGGAAAGCCCAAACCGAGGTGCCTATATATTGCTTTTGACACAGAGGCTGAGGTTTACAATACAGCTCAGGAGCTCTTGGCTCCTGTTTCGGTACCTGGAGTGAAAAGCTGAAGCTGTGAATGCATGGTGGGGAGCCTGGGGATGGCAGCCGCGACATCCTCCTGCAAACAAAGTGCTCCCAGGTCCTGTTACATGGAAGGATGTTGCAGCCTCATCGCGGCGACTGATCTTACCCTGTTCCCTCCCATTTTCTAAGGCCTTTTTATCCCCCTTTACAGCTCTTTCACGCTCCTTTCCCAGCCTGTTTGCTTCCTCCTGGGCCAAGAAAACGATGTTTGAAATCACACATGATAACACTTACTCATGGAGAAAAATCACCGCTGACTTCCCCAGCGGCACTTGCACGTGTGCCTGCTCACCAGCGTGGCCCAAGCTGCCCAGCCGGCCCCGGGCATCAGCTGTCCTCCTCTTCATCTCTCCCATCTTTGCCTCCCCTGCCCTTCGTAGCGGCTGTTGATCGCCTTTGGAGCAGCAAAAGTTAAAGCTTGGTGAGTAGTTTGAACTGTTCGCATCTAAGAGCTGAATACGCTTGATAGTAGCACAAATGCATAATTAAAGAGCAGAAAAAATGACTCACTGGATAAGGAAATGCGCTTTTCTTATCTCCTCTGCAGAGAAACAAAAGCCCCAGGAGCCTGGAACTCTGGCTAGCTAAGTGCTTTTATTAAACAAATAAACCAGCAAAGATATCAAACGAGCTATTTAAAAATTATGTCTTAATCCTGGAGTCAGAGAATTTGATTTCCAGTGCTGTTCGCTCCAACCGTGCACTCGGAGGGCCGGCTTCGGCCAAGGTTGGCTGCTGGGATCCCGGCAGAGAGCCCAACGAGGGACAGGGCAGCGCTGGTGATCCCAGGAGTGGGGAGGGACCACGGCGTCCTGCGAGTGTTCATGCACACATGAGTGACCAGACTCGTGTGAGCGGTTCCTCTGGTGTCAGGGGTGGGTGAAGTGACTCACGCACATGCCTGCAGAACCGCCTGTAGCAGAAAATATCCACCGAAAGTTCACCTTGTGCTCGTGTGCACCGGAAACCCAAAGGCTTGTCAATCAGAGAAGCCGCGAGGTGTTTATCAAGCAGACCCAGTTACCTCGGGACAGACCTCTGACAGGATGCACCCAATGCCCCGGGAACGCCTCGGCACAGCCCAATGTCCGCCCCGCATTCAGATGGTGCCACTGGCAGGCTTTGGTTGGAGCCAACCCCCAATTCATGTTTGCCCCTTCCCAGCGCTTCTGCGCCGGCTGGCGGGAAGCACCCCCTCCTGAAAGGTCCCACCATGGCTCTCGGGAGCCAGTTTCTCAGGGCTCCAGCACAAACCTCCTCCTTGGGATCTGCCGGGATGCCCCAGCCCGGCCCAGCCCCAACTTTTCTCTGCCTTCACAAAGCCAGCTGGGCTTAGGGACAAAATCTGGGAAGATTTTAGGAATGAGGTGGAAAAATGAAGGCTTCAAGAGATTCACCAACACCCAGATCCCCTCCATAGGCGCTCTGTTTCTTACCAAGGATTTTTGTGGCACTGCTCAGCCACCTGCACAGGGAGTTTTCTGTGGGGCTGTGCCCCGGTGGCACCAGCTCTGCTGAACATCGTTTGTCTCCTCCCCTTCTTGTTCAAAAGCCCCTGGAGCTGTGCTTGTCCATGAGGTTAAGGAAAAACGAGCAGGTGTCCTTGGCTCCCTCTGCAAGCGGACTTGGACCCCTCCAGGGGCGATGCTGAGCACCCAAATTAGGCTTCCACCGTGGGCTGTCCTTTGAAGACCCCTCCAGGGTTGCAGAGGGAGGGCAGCGGGTCTGCACTGCCTCGGCTGAAGCTCCCTCTGCCCATTCCCCCACCCTGCTCCAGAGAGCCCAAGCAGGACACAGCAGCACTGAGGACATGGGGGACCCCCCCCTCCCCAATCCTGCCCTGGGGGAGCAGAGCCCTTGACCTCCCCTGCCAGGAGCAGGCGGTGGGGGGGAGCGAGAGGTGTTTCCAGCCAGTATGCTGGCTGCTCTTGCTGCTCTGCAGAGTGCGGTGGGACTCTCTTAGCGAGGCCTGGGTCCCTGGATGCTGCCCAGGCTCTCACAAGCCCCCGCCACGTCATGAGTGACACACCATTAGCTGAGCCCGGATCTTCTGCCCGGACGTCCCCGCAAGCAAATCCCCCTGCCTGCTCTGCCTGC